AAATTGTTCACGCATGCCCATGATTTCCAAAGGTATTGTATATCTTCCAACGTTGACCACATAGTGCTAGGTTGGGATTTTCCATCAACATTCACTTTGCATTAAAAAATAATGATTTCCACAGAACAATAGAAATTACAGAAAGAAGGCTATTCACCTGAATATTTTAAACAATTCATCAATCTCAGAGTCCCCAGGGAAGAGAGGTCGTTGATTTACCATCTCTGCAAATATGCATCCCACTGACCAAATATCAACTGGTGTAGAATAACGAGGGGATCCAAGCAAAATTTCCGGAGCTCTGTACCACAGTGTTACTACCTGCAAGCAATTGCCAAAACTATAACTAAATATATAAGATAATTTCAAGTACTAAATGTCCATCCACAATTATTCCTGTTCACAATATTTATATTCTTTGAAACAATATACTCCCATATATATCTATCAATGTAATAAAATTTGAATATCCCCACTTAAAAGTAAATAAATACTACACAATGTAGCTGAAATAGCAAGAACAATGGACCTACCACTCTTGCTACCGATATTGAGAATCTCATGCTACCATGTTAAATATTTCATGAAAATAAGTTTTCAAATTTATACGAAAGGAAACATTTTGACTATAAGTTGGATAGATAATACAAAAAGACCGATAATCTTTCAAAGTTGAATGAGGCAATTTCCTTGTGTTAATTTGCAAAATACTGAAGAAAAATCACTTTTTACAACTCAAATAACTATCACAAGTTATTTCTAGTAAAAAAAGTTGAAATTAATAAAAAATATTAATAAATCAACAACAATCAAGCATCTATAGTCTTCTCACAAGGCCAAACCACCTTATTTATTCTCTACCATCTTATCCCCAATTGAATACTAAATAAATAATGAGTCAGGAGAAGGCCAGATGCAAACACATACTAACGAACCTTAGATCAGGACAAGAAATAACAAACTCCAATCTTGTGTTCAAGATGTGTTGCATTTTAGCCTCTTAGGGGCCAGTAAACAAAGTTACGATTGGAGTTCAAAAACATTCGATCATAAAATTCTGTATGAGTAATTTCTTCTCTAGTATATAGCAAACAAACCTCATGTGTAAATGTTCTAACAGGAATTCCAAATGCCCTTGCCAGTCCAAAATCAGCAAGCTTCAGTGAATTAGTGCTGCGATCTATCAACAAATTCTGTGGTTTTAAATCTCTATGAAGAACTCTATGTGAATGACAGTAAGCAATCCCACAGAGAATTTGGTAAAGGAACATCTGCATGAAGCATCATTTGAAAATTTAAATTAGCTCATCTCGTTGTGCAATCACATAAAAATAAAATATATTCACTTAATAATAGGATGATAATCCTCGTATACTTCAATATGGAGTAGGCAGACTATGAGCAAAGGAGACAAATTCTAACGAAATAAAAAAGCTTGAGGTCAGTTCAACATCATTATTGTCAAACTGTAATGACTTGAACAAACAAAATAAAGCTTTTTTTTTTCTGATCACTATATTAGATAATATATAAACATGATACTCAACTGAAACATATGAGAATAATTAACCTGTAGATGTAGCTTATTGTTCCTAGGATTACTTTAGCACCTTCAGTTTTAAAAAGCACTTAACAGCCCAAGACAAAATGCTGGGCCAAATTTATTGTACACATCATTTGTCTTCAAAAACAAACTTTTATGGACAAAGTAATACCAACCAACTGCTATCCACATAATTGGTAATTCATCACAAATTCATGAGAAATGCATAATATGTATGGAGCTGCATTTTGACAGGCCATAGTTATGTCAAAACCATAAGCTTATTTAATCATCATTAGGTCTTACGTTTGCTCTATTAAATTTATGCCAATAAAAGAAAGAGGATAAGAGAATCAGGTGTTTGAGGGCTACAATTAGTTCTTCCTGTCTCTCACAATTATAAATTCAGTTACAAAAGGATTGAAAATCTATAAAGAAAAGACATGTCACATACTTTTACTTGTCGTAGGTCTTTTGCAAATTCTGGTGATGAATCCATGTGCTTCTTTAGATCTAAGTCAAGGTACTCAAAAACCAGATACAAACGCTTCTCACTGTGTACTACATCCTGCAACCTGTTACCACAATTTGCCAATGATAATAAGGAAATGACTAGAGACTAGAGAGAAAAATAACAATAGGACAACAACGATGAACTTAACTAAGCAAAATAATTTAAGAAACTATAGTCAACAGGTTTTCTGGGGCCACTAAATCATAATTTTGATGGCATACACAACAGCCGCCAAGTAGATCTTTGGTAGATATTATGAAACAATGCAAATTATGCTGGGACACTTAACCACAGGGACATTAAGTACAGTTATACATCATCTATGCATGTCACCTAAATGAAAAATTCACAGTTGTACAGTTTGTCAGACAATATATCAGTACCAGTTGACCAAATATTAAAATTAGTCAAAAGGAATAGAGTATCAAAAACAGGTTTTGTCCAAAGACACGGACAAAACCGTGAAGAATATGAATAACATGAAATGATATCATTGTCTATATGCAATTCAATCACCAGAGGCACAAATCAACAGCAACATCATCCTACACAAGTTTAGCCATGCCGAAATAATCAGATTCCTATTTCCCCTCTGTCATCTATAATAACTGAAATTCTTAATTAAACTATTCAACATTGGTGCTCTGTGCAGAATAAAACACCTTAAAATGAACACTATAATGAGACATTGAGACTCATAGTGAAGAATAATCTTCCTAATTTCCTAATTTCTATCTACAGCCATATAATATTCTTGGTCAGCACATGAATTGCTCAAACAACGACCGCCACATTCCTGAGAAACGCATGAATTGCAGATATATACCTAACAATGTTGCGGTGCTGCATTTCTTTCAAGAGAGAAATCTCTCGAATGGCGGTGCTGGGAACCCCCTCATCCTCCTGCTCCAGGCGAATCTTCTTCAATGCGATGGTCTCGTTGGTGACGCGGTCACGAGCCTTATAAACGACGCCGTAGGTTCCTTCACCTATCTTCTCAACCTTCTCGTACTGAAAAAATTCACATACACAGATTAGAGAGAAAGAACCACGGATATTTTCGTATTTCTAAGACGAACTGAAACTAAAACCGAAACTAAAAGTAAAGCTTCAAAACGCAGAGCGTTTTACCAACCTGTTCCATGAAACAAGCTCTCTTATGCTCTGACAATCGCCGAAGAGGAAAGAGGAACCGTAGACGTTTGACGAGGAAGAAGACGATCTAAGAAGTTAGAAGTGGAAGAACCGGTGAGAGGTACAGTGTGTGCAGTTGCTCTCTCGGTCGCAGCCTCCTTTCTGGCGATAGACTATGGTCTCTCTCTTTCTCACCTCTTCCTATGCTGGCTATCAATTTCTTCCCTCACATCCCTATTCTTCTCAGCATTCAACAATTTTTTCAACTGTTTTTTACTCTCTTTTTTCACACCTAATTTTACTTTTACTTATTTTTCTTTTCTTTCAAAACTAGTTCTTAAAGTCCTTAGTTGACATTTGAAATAGCAGAAACATGAGTATTTTTTATTTTTTTTGTAAGTTTTAAGATAAATGAAACATATGCTTCCAGGAATGTTAGCATATTTTCTTTTAATTAAGGTAGTTAAAATGAAAAATTATGGTAACCATTGCAAAAAACTTACAAAATTGTAATAGGAATCTCTTGATTTTATTATATATATTTTTTAATTGGGCTTTATTTCAATTGAAAATCCATTCAACTAAGAAGACAAAAGGTAAAAATAAATACCCTTAATTTTAATTAGATTGGTTTGAATTTTATTTTTGAAATTTCATTTCATCGAAAAATTATTTAATTGTATTAATTTGTAATTGTTGGTTGGTCCAATGACAACACATGCAACAAAGAATTGCATTGATTTATAATTAGGTGGTTTAAGTTTTATTTGAATTAGAGAAAGTGTACCAATCAATTTAAGAAAAACGATGATTTGTATGACTTTTGTAATACAAGAAAATTCTAGAAAAAGATGTTTGAATTAAGTTTTAAATCTTTTTGTAAAATAGTGTTTAATTTTTTTTGAAGGGGTTAGACAACTTATAATAATTATTAAACACTTAAGTATTTAAAAACGTTTTTCACTTTTGAAAAACAAAAGTAGTAAGACATGCTTAATTTTATATTAGTTTACTTCAAACTGAGTTAGTTCAATTCTTCTTTAAGCACTCTTAAGGGATTTCACTAATCACAAAGAATAACAACGAGTTTAACCATTCCTAGTATACAACTAACCATACTGGTTAGAACAAGTATAAACACTCTTGGTATGAGTCAATCTAATTGCCTAGGCGATTTAACTTCACTAAGTTAAACTTACAAGTATTTTACTTCACTTCTGAAAGAAAATAACAAAGTTCTTTACAGATTACAAGAGCAAAATACGTAATTCTCGTAGAGAGGATTTGGAATCAATACAAAGAGATTTTGAAAAACTTGTAAAGAACTTTTTCTTTTTCAAAGCTTTAGACAATATAAGCTTTAGAGAGATAGCAACAAGAGAATATGCATAGATAATTCTTGATTATCTATACTTGATTCTTCTCTTCATGCAGTCCTCTTTATATAGGTTTCTTTGAAAAATATCAGTTATTCAAAGTTCTTTATTTTTTCGTAGAGATGTAGCCTTTTGTACTAGGTCAGAAGCTATGTTGTGTCTTGCAGAGACAATTGTGTTGTGTACGGAAGAGACAGGCACAAAGATATGAGTTAAGAAAATTGGGTTGCTTCCCAGTAAGCGCTTGTTTAACGTCACGAGCCTGACCCAATAACTCTTCAAACACCCATCAGTAAGTGTCTGGTAGTATAGTATCCTTTAGTAGATACTCAATCACCTAGCATCCATTTCAGTAGATGTTTGTGCCAAAGCAAGCTCATAACCAAAACAAAAATAACAAAAGTTCAAAATTACACCACCAAATAACAAAAATTAAAATGTTCAAATCATTGGGTTGCCTCCCAGCAAGCGCTTCTTTAACGTCACTAGCTTGACTCAATGAAGCTAAAGTTACTTATTTCCTGTTGATGTTCTTCTTTTTCCTCTCACCCCAAATCATCAACATCTTATTGGTCACCTTTTTTACTCTCCTTGAGTACGGAGCTTCAATCTCTATGACTCCATTATCTTTAAGCTCTTTAACAACCCATACTTTGCCCTTAAATCCCACTTGTGCACCATGTTTGAGTTGTTCATCCTTCGAGTCATGATGAACCATCTTTCCTTCACCATATTTTTCTTCTCCTTCCTCAACCTGTGACAAGAAACAATTTTTACCTTTATTATCCAACTTGGCAACTTTAAGGCTAGTCACTAGTGCATCTTCATTTGCAACTTTATGACTGGTCTTCCTCACTTGATTCTGCGGCTCAACATTGAAGACATCAAAGATCACCTCCTCTTCTTAGTCTTTAAGTGCTATCGTCTCGTCATCCACATTGATGATTACCTTGGTTGTTTTCATGAAGGACCTTCCAAGAATAATAGGAGTCTTCATGTCTTCCTCCATTTCCATCACAACAAAATCAACCAAGAATCTAAGTTTGTCTATGCAAACCACAACATCTTCTGCCACATCATAGGGCTTTTTGGTAGATCCATCCGCCAATTGCAAAGTAACCTTTGTAGGATTCACTTTAAGACCACCAATCCTTTCAAGCACAGATAAGGGCATCAAATTAATGCTTGACCCTAAATCAATTAGGACTTTCCCTATTTTAACATCCCTAATGACGCAGGGAATAGTAAAGCTTCCTAGATCTTCCACTTTTGGAGGAAGTGCCTTTTGCAAAATAACACTACAATTGCCCAATACATCAATGGTTTCCTCATCTAAATATCTCTTCTTTTTTAAGAATCTCTTCAGAAATTGTGCATACACAGGAATCTCTTCTTTGAAAAACCCTAATTGCTTCTCTTTTTCTTTACTACTACACTCCTTAGGGTAAGGAAGAATCTTTTCAATTTTTTTCTCAATTTTTTTCTCTCCCCTCTTCTTTTATTTCTCTTTTCTTTCAACCTCACTTATTCTTTCTTCTTTTTCTTCTTTTAAATTAACTCTTTCTTTTCTCTCCTCTACTCTCTCGTCACTTATGCTCACAATAGCTTTACATTCTTCCTTAGGGTTAACCTCAGTATTAGCCCCAAATTGCCTCTCAACTTTATCCTCCAACTTCTTGGCCAGTTGGCCTACCTACATCTCCAAATTTCTTATACCAGCTTCATTACTTTTGTGGTTGGAGATAGTTACCTGCATAAATTGTTGAAAGGTTTCTTCAAGCTTTGAAGTTCTATCAGATAACGCAAATATTTGTTGCCATTGTGATTGTTGCTGCGGTGGTCTATTGAATTGTCCTGCTTGCCCAGATTTTCCAAATTGACCTTGACCCATACTTGGGTGAGGTTTTCTCCCTTTGTTGAAATTACCTTGGCAGAATTGATTGCCCATATAGTTGACGTCTTCTTGGGCCTCCACTGGAAAAACACATTGACCATTGATATGATCACCACCACATAATTCATAGAGTTTCTGTTGAACCAGTGAAACATTTTGCGACTCCTTTGGCAATTGAGAGAGTTTCTTCGTCAAATTCTCCAATTGTTGAGTGATAATCTTATTCTATGTACCGAATCGTATAAAGTAATATAAAATGGTAAGACTAAGTAATGTATCCCAAAGGACTCACGGCCTAAACAGTTATGTCATTTCTTGATTAAATAGGACTTGAAAACAAACTCGTTTAGGTTTAGAATGCAAATACCAAAAAGTAAATATGCATGCAATTTGATCAATTGGGCAAAAGCGCAAAGATGAACGGATTTGATATTATGGAATGATTATGTTGTTGGGGTTAGATTTCACCTAATTTACTGTCATGTATATACGAATTCTACTTCTTCATTAATGTTAATGTCACTATCTAAAACACTTAAAACCCGATTCCTCGACAAAGAAAGTATATCCTTAACTATTAGTTTATACAATTCCTAGTATTCCTAATAATTAAATCTGAAGAACAGAAGCTTACGACAACCAGAACTCATATACTCATTCCTGAGCAATACTGCTTTTGGGAATAATTCTCTAGGCCATGAATTGTAAGATACCTTCTGGTACTCATGCAAATCATACATCATGATAAAGAATGAGTTAAACGAAGCAAACATTACGCAAAGAAGAATTATCCTAACAATTAATGAAAGAAGCATTTATAATCTAGAATCAATTCAATACATGAGAGTTTACAAAGGTTACATCATCCCCAACAACAAATAGGGTTTAGTTCACCATTGACATGGTGAATCTAGATGAACAATAGAAAAAGAATTAAAGATAGAACCCTATAAATTGAAGATAGGAGCTTCCGCATCCAAATCCGCCTTCAAGGGAGCAAATAGTGTGTTTCTGAGCCTATTCCATCCAAAGATACAAACCCTAGGATGTGCAAGTCCTTAAATAGAACATAAAAATAACAGAAAACAGGTCCAAGCCCACGAGACTGGCGCTCAACGCCCCACTTACGGCGCTCAGCGATGTGCGAGTCAGAAGTTGCGCTCAGGGTCAACTCAGAAGGCAAGCAAGCATGGTGCGTCTCGTCATAGTTGCGCTCAGCGCCCCTGAAAAGGGCGCCCGGGCCCGAGCTAGGAACATCCTGCGCTGAAGGCTCCAGAAAAGGGCAGCCAAGCGTGAGATAACTTACTTTGGCGTTGAGGACCCCCAAAGTGGCGCTTAGCGCTGTTGCGATCTCCCTTCTTTGATGCTTTTCCATCTTTTCCTGAGTTCCAACTCCTTACTGCTTTCTAAGTCAAAAAAAGTGTTTTTAGTATCAAAATTAAGTATCAAATAATGGTAAATTCAATCGTTATCAACAGGGTATTTTACAGAAGGAGGAGTTCATCCGTAAACTCAAGAGTTCATCCGTAAACTCTAGAGTTCATTCGTGAACTCTTGCCACTCCATGAAGCAAAAGTTCATCCGTGAACTTATGATCTCATCCGTGAGCTCATGTCGCTTAAAGAAGCAGGGGTTCATCCATGAACTTATGAGCTCACTCGTGAGATCATGCCGAGTTGGTGAAGGGAGAGTTCATCCGTGAACCCTTGCCACTCGGTCCAAATTGCAACAACTTGATTAAGGGAGTGTTCATCCGTGAATCCATGCCAATCAATTGTCGAATTGGTGAAGGGAGAGTTCATTCGTGAACTCCTGTTGCTTGTCCAAATTGCAATCTACTACACGGTTTCACTCAATGACCATTAGAATAATCAAAGTCTGTCTGTAACGTAGTCATTGCTCTACCGCATGATCTCCGCCAATATTCAACTTTTAGGCTTCAACATAGTCTCAAACTTGATCAAAGTAGGCATCAACAACAGCACGTCCTT